ACTTTTCCAGTTTGGTGATACAGCTCCTTGATAATTTTGATTATCATGGCCATGTGTGTTTATTGTTCGAATTACTTGGCCTTAGCGTTTTTGATTTTATGGTAAGTCAAAAACATATTCGAACGTCATCTTTTTTTTATTTCATGGTAAGTCAAAAGCATATGCTAAGATCAGGATTCAGTATGCATATTGAATCTTCTCATTATTACTTATTTCATTAATTGCAGATCCCTGGCGATAATCGTTTTCAAAGCTTTAATTGAATGAAAATGTTAGTTTTCCTATTTTCGGAATTTGGGTCGTGACCCGTAATCATAGTTTTTTTCAGAAAGCAAATAATTACCAAGCTTATCCAATGGAGCAAGCGCGATACATAGCTTACCAGTTATGTTATGCGGTAAAATTCATGCACGATAATCGTTTAACGCACACGGATCTCAAGCCCGAAAATATTTTGTTCCTGAATAGTAGCTACAGGTTTCGTTTTCCGAATCCAGTTTTACTAATAACTGACAAATTATATATGGCAAGTAATGCATTTCCGGTTATCGTTGCAGCACCATCAAATAGCCTGTGGCAGCTGATGGATGCTTGAATAATTAAATTGAATTATATAAAAGAAATAAAGAGAGGAATTGGGAAGGTTTTCTTGGGTTTTGAGAATTATCTCATATTTTTTAACAATAATATAGATTATAAAAGATAATCTCCATCCATTGTTCGCAAATTGCCACCACTTCATGTTGCCTGAGTGTTACTGTAAGTTGCATAAGTTGCAAGCATATATATAAAGTCATTGTGTTAGAGTTTTCAACTTTTCAAAATGAATGGATATGAAGGAATAATTTTAGAAGGAATTTATCAACATGCAATAATACTTCGAGTAGATTATCTCTCATCATATTTCTTGTTAAACTTCATTAAGTCAAATGATATTGTTTATTTGCTTTTAGTTCACGATTTGTTAATATAGATGTATATTATTCGAAAATATCTGTCACTTACCTCATGCACATTTATTTAGCTGAGCAATTTCCATTTGTTACTTTTTCTCTAAAATAGAAATTGAGTTCTCTTCTTGTATTTGAAAAACAAAAATCTGATTTAACGGAGAATTCAGTTATACCTTTTTTTTCGTCTTTTCAGAGTGGTCGAAGATGGGAAAAAAAAGAGGCCTTTACGAATAATCGATGATGCAAGCGTGCGATTAATTGATCTCGGCTCAGCAACATTTGATCATGAACATCATTCTACAATTGTTTCAACAAGGCATTATCGAGCACCTGAAGTTATTCTAGGTCTTAATTTTTTTCTTTTTTTTACCGTTCTACATAGCAGTTCATATCAGCAAAACTTTGGTAGAATAAGTATGCATGCTGAATTAGGAAGGTAGGAAAACATTTACTGTATTCAAAGTTTCTCGTCTGTTGTACTTTTCCTTAGATAGCTTTTCGTATAATTACTATAAATTACAACAGTAATCACATTGTCTCAACGGAGATCTGACTGAGGAAAAATATAGAAATCAAATATAAACGAATTTCAGGAATCTCAAAAGATAGGTCAATAATGCACATCGATCGATTTATAATTCCTTTTCGTTACGTTTCAATAAATATAAAATAAATTAAATACAGCAATTTATATTATGTATACTGAAATTAAATACAGCAATTTGTATTATATACACACAGTAATTCGGTTATATATATGCCTTCATTCTACTTTTGTTAGCTTCATTGAAAATTATGAAAATTTTAACTGATAATGATGGATGATTTTACTTAACATGGAGTAATGCATGATAACCTAAAGTAGTATGACTTTTAATACAATGCACTCTTTTTTGTATAGTATCTCTAGAACTATCATTTTTAGGACCTTTTAAGATTACATCACATAGATATTTCATTGCGGTAACTTTTATATTAAAATGTATGTCGAAATAACATAACTGTTTTACTTAATATTGTACATGTAATTTTTTTATCAATGACGTTTGATTATACCTAATTACATTTTTTTGGGAAAAGATTTTTGGGAACTTAGAATAGTAAAACAACCATGTCCTTTAACTTGAACATGTAATGCATAACTATTTCATGTGGTGGATGTTTCCGTCATATCTTAAATATTTTGAAGTCTAATTATGGTGTGGATGGAATAGCAGTCTTGTGAACAGCAGAATTTTGAAGAGCTTTGATTTTAATGATTGGTTGATTTGCTTAGAAATTCTAATGTCATGGTCTCTCAAAGTGTTAAAAAAAATTTAATTTTGATTGTGCACTGCATTGCTTCCAATAAGGTAATTATCCATTATACAATGACCTTTCAGAATTAGGATGGTCCCAACCATGTGATGTTTGGTCGATTGGTTGCATTTTGTTCGAGCTCTACCTCGGTATCACATTGTTTCAGACGCACGATAATAGGGAGCATCTTGCAATGATGGAGAGAATCTTGGGTACTTTACCTTATCGAATGTGCAGGAAGTCTAAGTATATAATTTTTTTCGTCTCTTAGAATTTTTTCTATTTTGATATTGGTCAAGATCATTGTATTTTATCGTATTTTTTGATAGCTCATTGACCTGTTTCACTGATTTTTATTTATTTCACTGCCGTTTATTCTAAGTCTACTAATATTGCGATGACAAATGAGATTGAATAATGCTGAAATCCTTGAACAGCTTACTACCATGCCGTGTTTTCAGGACGTGGGAAATCCTTCTCATCCTGTATCACCACGTCAAACATATATTCTTTCAGAAAAGTATTGTAAAATTCGAAAACATAAATTGAATAGGATTAGACAGAATAGAAAGAGTTGGTTGTTAATATTACTGATTAGTGCAATGTGTGATTTATTAGGTGGGATGTGAATATGGTTTCTACATATTTTACCCTTATAGAAAAGAATAGGAGCGTTAAAGATATATTGTAAAGATTGCACTCATCATTAATGATTTATTGCACTCATCATTAATATTTTCAATTTCAGAACAAAATACTTTTATCATGGACGGTTAGATTGGAATGAAAAAACTCAAGCAGGGCAGTATGTCAGAGATAACTGTAAACCGTTGTCGGTAAGAATTTTTCTTTCTCTTAATCTCATTCTTTAAAAATGTTAATTTGCTTAAAACTTCAAATTTCATAAATGACGAAGTATATTGTAAGGGGGATTTAATATAGTAATTTCAGTCTGAAAATATTTTTTCCGAATCGAATTTTGTTATATAGGCATCATTGCTTATAACATGTAAAATGCTTATAATATTTCTTTTTTTAAACTTATTTAAGTTTAATTCGTATCAACTTTTATATTTATGCAGCAGGAACACTCTTTTTTTACACTCTTAAAATCAATGAAATTAGAAAAAGTGAATTTCAGCGCTGGTTTTTAACAATTCGAAATTTATTAGAGAATTAATTAAAAAAGCAGTTCTTTGATGACAAGCATTTCTCGAAAATCGAAAGCCTTGTTCTGTTTTTACTTATAATTTCCCTAGAAAGGGACATGAAGCCATAGAATGGGATAAAACTTGCATATGTTTTGAAAAAGCAGAAAACAGAATTTAAAATGATAGATATCTTCAATTTTTTCTGCTGCGATTCGAAGCATACTTTAAAATCTGCACTTCCTTGTTTCTGGCATGTTTGTTGCGACTGACATCGACTGAAGAATGTTCAAGTGTAATGATGATAAGGGAAAGAATGTTTTATGATTTATGAATTTGCAGAAATTATCCATCTAATTTTTAGGACATTTTTTTATTCATAAAACTTGTGATCGTTATGTGCAGTAAATGTTTACTCCTGCCTTCCATGCTTCAGTACATGAGTTTAAAACACACAAAAATCTATTAACAAGAAAAACGATATGAGGAAAGGAAAAGGGAATATTTTATGCCGCTTGTTGCCTCAATGCTTAGATTTTCGTTTTTTTATTATTCCAATTTTAAGTAAAAATGAGAATTAAAAGTTGCACTAGTTTCCTTCATTCCGTTTTGTTTGTAAATTTGGATACTAATGTATTAAAATTCGTAAGATTAATCTTTGTCAAAAATTTTCAATTAATTGTAGTCGAATATATGATTTAGTCTAATATGATTGTTTACCAAATGAAGATTTAATAGACGGATTATATAATTGTTTACCAAACCCTTTGTTTTAGTGGTGTAGCTTAAATGTCAAATGTTTATTTGAATACTTTTTAATATTTCCTAATGAAAAAGTTTGGGAAGACGAAGTTCAAATAGGCATTTTCTTTATTCCTTCAATACTTTGAGAACAAAAATTATAAAGAAAACCTTTCTATAAAATAAATCCTCACGCTTAGTGCACCTTTTCATGGGTTGTTTGATGTGATTTTCAGCGTTATATGAAATCAAACGATCCAGAGGACGTTGAATTGTTTGATATAATCTCAGAAATGCTTACATACGAACCATCGCAACGAATTACGCTGGGCTCTGCATTGGACCATCGATATTTCAAACGTTTAGCGCCACACCTCAGGTAAAATTTTTTCTTTTTTCCGAATTCGAATTAAATCAAAGCAAAAGTTGTAATGACTGGAAAAGTTATTGGCTTGGTAAGAAAGTGTTGTATACCTATTGTACCTATCGAATTATTTCGGCACAGTATCTTTTCAAAAATTTTGCCGAGAATAGTTTTAATTGGAAAAATATACAAAGCAGGATGAATTTATGTTCTAAGTTTGTTAAAATCTCTTTACTTTATAGATCCAAAATACTCCAGTTCCCATTTCTGTTCCTCAGGGTTAGAATTAGTTTGCGAAAAATATCAGAATTTTTAGAAGATTTTTATTCGTTCATTTATTTCAACCAGTTAAGGCTACACGAAGGTGGTGCGTCATCGAACGGATCATCATCATCAACGGTGGCAACGGCGGCAACGACAGTAGTAGCAGCCGAAGCTATAGTAATATCAGATGCAGGTGATGGAGATGGCGAAGAACGATAGTGTCCAGCATAGCACAAATAGTTCGGAAATTCTTGTTTGTTAGCGATAAGTGCACCGTAATTGGTGTATTTTCTTTGAAATTTCTCGGGATTTTCTGAAAATTACTAGGAAAACTTGGAAAGTATATAGTAGTTAAGAGGTAGGGAAAAAACAATCCAGATTTCCAAGAGAGAAAGTAGAGAGTGTGATGTTGCTGATTTTGAGGTTATCCAAAAAAAGTTATAATTAGCGAGGGATAGGAGAAAGTTTTTCGAAATAGGGTAATCAATGAAGATTATCATAAGTCCCAGCGCATTGTCGATGAGTTGTTCACTTTTTTGCCCTTTGATTATCTCACGTTTATATGTAAGGATGCTTATTTTTTATGCGTTGTTATTATTCGACTAGTGAATTGTATACTCTAAAGTTCTGTTAATTACTATTGTGATGAAACTCCTTCCTAAGTAGTACTGTTATACGAGTTTGGTGGCCTACCGTAATACCCGTTTTGGATCCATATTATACGATTCAGTTTTTAAATTTCCCAGTCAGTAGTGAATGACGCTATGCTGTCATTCTTATTATATGGAATTATCGCTTTCTATCACTGAAAATTTGAAAATTTTCAACTTTGCCATGATTGCTTGTGACTGTTTTCCTTAATTAGCCTTACTGGTATCTGGAAGCATATAAAAAATATAGTACATGGTGTATTAGAAGAGGTTACCGCATACTGATTTATTGCAAAAATGTGAAATAATTTATAAAACTGTTTGTATCTTCCAAACTTTATAAAAGTTAATTCCAACTCTTCAGTTCATAATTTAATATTCTTTTTTAAAAATTAAGAAAAAAAACTTTTAAAACTTTGCTCAGGCATTTAGTTAATTCTGTCACGTGTTCTGCTTTACTCTTCGTTGTTGAAGAAAGTTCCTTGCACTAATATTACGTTTGGAATATGTTAATCTTCGTTACAAGACTATTTTCTCGTGGAAAAGTGTAGTTAGATGAGAGGAGAGTATCTTTCGTTGGTACTTGTAGAGGGACTTGGTAAGGGACAAAAGATTGATTCAGAAAAGAAGCCTTGCTTCAATTTTAATATATATGGGAATTTGTCTGGTTGAACTTATCGGTCTTGAATTTAGCTCTAGATTTGTGTTTTAATGTCAGTCTGAGTCGAATTGAGAAGTAGAAGTCTTCATATGAGTGCTATTGTCAATAGAAAATAGGTAATTCTGCTTTTTATATTTCATTTTTTAAAATTTCAGATTCTTATTTTTGTTTGAACGAAAATTTAGGTTATTGTATTTCAATAAATTAATCGTTATTTCTTAAATTATATCTATTTGTCACTCATGTATTTTATGGTACCGCAAAAGTTATTCAAGATGTATCTTGGAGTGTAACAAAAAATTTTTGTTAGTTTTGAAATTGTTAAAACATTGTGAAAATATCGAATTGTTTTTACTGCTGTAAACATGGAAAACTCAAGATGGTATGTTGTTTATTGTGATTTTTACTCCCGAAACTGAAACGAATAGGGCAAAAAACTCACATGAAGTGCTACCAAACTATCAATTTAAGCTAATTTCTTGTTGACTTATTGTTTCAACTCAAAACTGTTGATCGGGTTGTTTTTAAATGAGAACTGTTTGAATTGATTGGCTTATTGTTTCAAGTTGCAGTTGATTTCCGAATTATTGATTTTATTCGTCTAGTTCATCGTGGTCGAAGTCTTATTTGATTTATTTTTTATTCTTTTATGTTTAAAGTATCTCATTCTGATCAAAAAATATTAGAGATTGTATAAAAAGATTCATAACTCTAGAAATTTACGATTTGATTGTCGCCAAATTATGTAATGACAAACGTCTTATTAGCAGCTCGGTTTTTAAAACCAAAGGAGAAAGTGTTCCAAGAAAAGTGGGACATAGCAATCCACAAATGTATTAATTAGATTTAAATGTTCCGAACTATTACACTGCAGATTGTAACAATTGGGTATTTGGTGCTAAAAGTCAAGAGGAGTAGTTTGTTATCGTTTAGGTTTATTTTAAGTTTCGGAGGAGAATAGGGCAAATGAATCCCATTTATAACCTTACACTTTAATTACAATGCGAGGACACTTCAACCTCATTTATTTGAGAACTTGGACGAGCGTAAATCCACTAAAAATCTCCAAAATCATCAATAATTGTTGCAAAAATAAAATTTATTTCATTTCGCATAAAACATGGAGACGAAATCACCGATGGGTACAAGCATAATTCATGAATTTGTGGCCCTGTAATGGACCGTTGGGTTCGGTGAGATAAAGCTGAAGAAGCTACTGCGAATCCACATATTCGTGACAGCTTTGGTGTCCTCAGGCGCGGAATGTTTCGTCAACTCTCCCAATAGAATTAATCGAACAGCTGTTTGAATCTCACGCGCTGATATTATCGATCGCTTGCTGTAACGCGCTAAACCGCTTCACCCAACTGCAATTCGCTCAAAGACATCGTTAACGAAAGGATTCATAATGGAGACTGCTTCCGATGAAATCCCGACATCGGGATGAAGATGTCTGAGGACACGACAGATATTCCCATCGAATGCTCCATCACCTCCATTCTTCTAAGGTGTGCCATCACCTTTCTCCTCCTTTTCGATAATTGCACGACATGCCCGAGCCGCGCATCCCAACGCCTGTAGTTCGTCCTCTTCCCTTCTCAACAAATCAGAGTGATCAGATTTAACAGTTTCGTTGTGCTTACGTAGTTTTCTGGGTATGGGTGAATTTCAGCTCGCTCTGACGTTGGTCGTTGGTTCCTTGTGGTGGTCACCTTATTTGTTCTACTTTGTTGTGTTTTTAATATTGGTTTCTTTCCTCACTTTTCAGCCATAACATACTTTACATGTTTACTTAATTTGATTCAAATGCTTAGTGTATTACTACTTTCCAAATAAAATCCTTCGCCTTTAATTCAGTGTACATAAGCAAAGCTTATTTCATTTACTTAAGTCATCAGTACTGCGCACTATAACTTTAAACTTAACTGAAGAATTGCTGGTTTCCCGAAATCTTGTGATGTGATGGTTAAATAGTATATTGCTTTTAAGAGCTCTGAAATTAAAAAGCTGAAAGTTCCATGTCTGCAACGGTGTATTACGGTGTACTCGTAGAGTCTTTTTTATAACATCATTTCACAGCAGTTATCAAATACTATTAAATATTACATATTTCAGTTCAGGAGTATGACAGAAGTACTTCATGGTGATGCCGATATTGGTTGTGGTGATGCATTTGATTTCTCAAATTGTGCTCGAAATATGGCCTTAGAGGCAATAGGTATGAGACCACCAACGATGAGAAGTACTGGTACAACTATTGTTGCAGCCACGTACAAGGTCTTGATCTTATTTTCTTTTATGTTTTTTCATGTAATTTTTGGTGATAGTTATATTATTTTCACTTATGCTCGATCGCAACTCTCCTTATTTAACTATCAACAGAATTATGTGTAATTTTTAAAAATTACCAAAGATTTGTTTATTGTACTTCTGAAAACAGTTTCGGTTGTAAGTTTGCATTTAATATCGATTTGTTAATTGTTTTGCAGGATGGTTTGGTGATGGGTGCTGACTCACGTGCAACTGCCGGTAACATTATCGCTGATAAGCACTGCAAAAAAGTATATAAAATCACTGATTCGATTTACTTATGTGGTGCTGGTACTGCTGCTGATTTACATCAAGTTAGTAATGGATGCCTTTCTTTGCTTCTCTTCTGAAAATTAGTTATTTTTTTTCTAATCAAATTATAGCATCATTGCCGGGTAATTTATTATAGTGCAGAATTATCTGCGCCTCAGCAGAACAAAATATGCCAAAAAATATTCAGAATATTAATTAAGGTTGGAAGGAAGTACTTTATATTACCCGACAATTGTCTATAGTGCGAATCATGAATAGTTCATTAAATAAACTGATCTGATGAAAAATTTTATAAAGGAAACATAAGTAAACTATATTTGGTCTGTGGTCCAACTACGATACATAGTGCTGAATAAGTGGATAAACTTGTATGCAGTCCACTCAAAATTTGGCTCTTCTAGAGTAGGTTATATTTCCAGGTAGCTAAAATGTTATCTGCGCAACTACGGCTTCTGGAACTAAATACGGGGAAAAAGGCACGGGTGGTTACGGCACTTCGGCGAGCCAAACAACATTTGTTTTCATATATGGGTCATGTTGGAGCGTATCTATTGATTGGTGGTGTTGATCCTACTGGACCGCATTTGTATCAGGCATGTTTGATTTATTCTTGCTTTACAGCTGCATTTTACTGAGACTAAAATGACAATATTGTTTTGAGTTTTTTTTCCATTTCTGTTAGCATTACATTCCTCTGAATTTAAAGACCATCTATTTAGTTTAGTTTAATTAGAAATCATGTAAGAAAGCTGAACGTTAATGATGCGCCGTATCATATGCTGAAAGCTGAGTGATTTTGAATAAAATTAAACAATCGGTATTTCAGTGTTCAGCAAATGGTTATACACAAAGTAAGCCTTTCGCTTCTGAAGGCTCAGGTAGTTATGCTGCGACAACCATTCTAGAACGAGATTTCAAAACCGGCATGACGGTAAATTTTTTATCACTTAAGTTCAAAAAAAATTTTCATATTCGTTATATTTGTAAACAATTTGTTATTTTTATAAATCCTCACTCTAGTATATTACATATCATATTTTTTGACTTAGTGCTAATGTCTTGTATATTACGTGCATTTTGTTGAACGTTTTAATATTTACCTTGCACGTGATTGTCAGGTGATTTTTCAAATCCCCTTTCACAACTCGTTAATGTGCATGCTTATTCTAGATATGACATCATAGATTGTTCTATGCTGCTAATTTATTAAATTTGTACATTGAAAATTCAACATATAGCTGCTATATGAATGTTTAGCAAGAAGAAGCCGTTCTTCTGGTTCGTCATGCGCTAGAGGCCGGCATGCATGGTGATAACTGTTCTGGCAATTCTCTTAATTTTGTTATCATAACATCTGAAGCTACGGTATTCAAGGTGACTTCCATATCGATTTTTCAAAATGAACTTAGAAAAATTGACTATTCGACTTTTTTAACGTAAATTTCGTTTTCTTTCTCAATGTAGGCCTAAGTCATTCTCAGCTTCTCATGAAAATATGATGAGTCATCATCCTATGTAATCCATTACCCTAAATTTTGTTTGAGAGCATAAGCTCGTCTTCTTATAAATTTGAGCAGTTAGTAGTCATCGTGGCATTTTGATTAGTCATTTAATAGTTTATATAATTTGTTTATTACTGCAATAGATGACATTTTTTCAGGGTCCTGAAGTTCCACATTTCTGTGTACGACCAGAGCCCGTTGAGCTGGACTATAAATTCAAGCTTGGCTCCACCAATGTTCTGAAGCAGAAAGAAATTAAATATGACATAATTGAAAGTATGGACATTTCCCATTAATATATTATCATTAATGCGGTTATTTTTATAGATTACTTGTTGATATAAAGTTTTCTGGACAGTGTTTCTAGTAAGAAAATGAAAATCGGTTTTGATTATACTGCAGATCCAGTAATTTTCTACAACTGTCAGAGAATGTGTCATTTTGACAAATGCTAATTTTCAGTTATAAAGCTCCATAAGACTATGTTTGCTTTGTCAGTCTTCATATTTTGATTATGTGTATGACTACTCAACATCCCAAATCTCTTTTTCCGGGAAAAAACAATTGATTACTAATTTATCTTTTCAATTCATTTATTTGGGTCGTTGTAGTTTGAATTCTGGAATGGTTTGTTTCCTTTGATCTTAAAATGTAACTATGTACCAGATGTTTTTAGTCATTTTTTCTTGGTTTGCTAAAGAAATCACACAGTAAATCAATCCAGCTTTGTTTCACAGATGTGAACGTATGAAACTTTTTTTTTCAGAAATGAATCGCCTGCAAAGGAAGTCTTTGAAATGTTTATTATAATTTTTTAATGAAAGTTGACAAACTCAGAGAATACATAAAAAACAATGAGCGTTATCATAACATCTCCGTTCTATGACTTACCATATTTTATGGGTTATAATTTGGCAAAACTTTTTGAAAAATTTCACACGGAATGAAGAGTATGTTGCGAAAAAGGATCAGTAGGGAATTTGAGGATATTAAAACTGAACAATGACACGCAAACGTGCACATATACACTCTGATTTATTAGGAATATTTAAAATCGTTTCAAAATCAGAAAAAGCTTCGTTTCTTTAAGATTGGAGTTTAAAATTTAAATACAATAACTTATTTTTGAAATTTGGCGGAGGAATAGAGACCATTTTTTACGATCATCGAGATGATTGAAGGAAGAAAAGAACTGAAAAATTAGATGATTGAAAAATTTGATGAGATAGACGGTGAAATATGGCTGATATTCGGTGCATTTGAATGTCCATGTATCTTAATTTTTATTTAAAACTGAAACATCCGATCGTCATTACTGCTTAATCTTGTCATTCCATTTCCGAGATTTTACTGCATCCATAGCACAGCACGTTTTGTACTGGCAGCTCTCAATCACTGCACATCCAGAGTAATGCAAGGAACTTCTTAATAATTCATGGATATACAAAAGTACATCGTTTCATATTTCAGAACTATTTTGCACAGATTATTCGTGGAAAATGCAAACCATCCACTGTGTTTCTCGTCGAAAACCAAATTCAACTTAGGTGAGTTGTTTACATATTAAATAAAGCCTCTTGCAGGATCCAAATAATAAATCAACTATTTTGCTTATGTTCTCCGTTTACTTTACTATCCGGATACTTATACTAATGCTAGTAGTAGTGATAATGAATCTTCAATATTTGCATATTCATTTATAATGCTTGACGGGTGTAGTTTTCATAAAAGATTGATTCCGCTGTCAAAGAACTCGAATATTTTCAGTTCTCGAATTCATTGCATAGATTATTTTTGTACCAAAGTTCATTGATTCTTTTACTTTCATCTTAGTTTGCAAGATCATTGCATGAAACTATTAGTTTGGAAGAAAGATAAGTCAATGCTGAAATTTATTTCATAATAAAATGTAACTAAGATGAATTTGGCTCTATTGTATATTATTTCGGTGCTTATTTCATATATTATCGCTTAATTTGTATTCATTTTGTGCTATCAAATAATCACAGGCAAGGAGAAATTGGGACTACTTTTTTATGAATTTAAATGCTTACAATACAGTGGATGCAACTTATCATAGAAGTCCAATAAATAATTTGATTTCACACTTCTTATACCTTAAATACATCATTTAAAAGACTTTTAAATTTTTTTTTAAAAAAAAGATGATAGAAGATGTCAACTTCTATCATCTAATTTCACGGTAGTCAACAAAACACGGTAAAAATCGTTTCGAAACAAATTTTAAATTAAAATTTGAAAATACGAACTTAAGTCATCAATTCTTAGGATTACAATCAAACTGATTGGTATCATCAAGTTCTAAAATAAGAAAAAATTTTTACTCGCTCATTGTAATTTCATTTTGATTACTAAACATACTTATATCACAAATTAAAATTCTAAGTATTCGAATTATCTTTTGACCTTGATTAAAGAAGAGAATTAATTATATATTTTCGACATGCTAGTGTTATTCACTTATCTTTTTTAGCAATAACGTGTTGATAAAAATCAGTTTTAGAAAGTGGTTCCATGTTCTTTAGTTAGTGATTTTTGATTTTCATCAATCAAAAATTTGTTCGGCTAACATATATACATAATATACGAGAAGTTGAAGATTTAAAAAATGGCTGATTTCTGTCGTTCCTTACTCTTACTCTGTGACAACATACGAAACTGACAAGACTTTTAAGTACACAAGCAAAATGCTGATTTTTAGGCACTACAATCTCAGAAAGAAATTGTTCTGTCTTTACATTATTAACCAATAGATACTGTGCAGATTATTCGGAAATATTCAAAAGTCAGACTGCATAGACGATTATACAGTATTTATATCAAATTGTTTGAGTGGGGATAAATTTTTATCACTTTGAGAATTTAAACTTTATACGCATCAATTAATGTATAACTCATGATTTTTTTAAAATTTTTTTTAAATTTAAATGATGTTATTTTGCTTTTAGAAAAAAAATGATGCGAAAAACGTTTTGTTTACATCTGATTTGGTCAATAAATAAGAATAACTTATAATATTGGATCTGTTCCATATGTGCAGAAGCATAACTCAACTTCATAAAATAAGTGCTAGGTTATCTTAATGGAACCAAAATTGAATTCTCTGATAGCCATTGAACCCATGGATATATTGAAGCCTACGGTGGCATTTAATTTCACAGACCCTTTTTATTGTATCAACAATAGCAACAAAATAATTCCATTTATCTGTATTTACCTGAATTCGCTTCATTCATTTGCAAAATTGACAATTCCTACAATTGCATTCTAATATTTCTGATTGGTACAACATGTGATTAGTGCCTTTGTAATCGACAGCTCAAAATTGATGATGAAAAATCGATTAACAGAGCGGCAATTAATCTTCAACTTTTATTAACTATATTTTGTGTATGTTTTTTACTAGCCTTTCACTCGATTTGTTAGCCTTTGTTGTATTCTATTTTGTTACAATAATCACTTATTCTTCGTTTTCTTTTAACGTTGCTCACCGCAAATGCATTGTTAATCTGTATGCAAGCTTTTTTCAATCTCTTTTTATCATTTCATTTCTTCCATGTCTTTCTGTTACCTTCACTTTTCATCTTTTCCATGCTTTTTCGTTAAAAACCGTGCTCAGAATGGCATTTTTTGTAGTCGTCATGAAAGTAATATACAAAAGAGTGAAATTATGGAATTTATACAATATAAATCGTGGTTTTTTGTTCGGAGCAAATGCCTTGATCCCTGGATGAAAAAGGATAATGGCTATCGAATATCGTCCAATATCATTGCGTAATTTCAGAGATCAAAGTTCACTTGTATTTCCGGAATTTGAAGTAGATTTTTGATGCCCACAGCAATGAGAACTTATATAGTGCTAATTATAGCATCTTGGAAATGTCTCATTTTTCATCCAAACCGTTTGGCATTATAATAAAATTCCCCAGATCAGTTTGGAACTAAACATGATTACTAAGTGACGAAATAAAATACTCATTTCATTCTTCAATCATTACAGCTATAAAAGTGATTTAAACCCATTTTCAGCACTTTGATGTATAATATTTTTTGCTATCAGCATTGAATAAGTGCAATTGGCGATGAATTTTGCTTGATATTTTTGTAAATAATGGCCTCCATTTTCGAAACATATCGAAAAAGATCGATCTGATTCGGCATACTGTTTTGAAATATATTTCAAAATTGACGTGCTTTCTTTTGTTGATGAACAATTCTGAAAATTTTGCCTTTGGTATTTTTTTCGCACATAAACTCACTTTTTAATGGATTTCTTGCAAATGACAGACCCAATCATAATATGGATTAAAAGTCGTCAAATGACTGATGTTACGATCATCTTTCCAGAAACTGACGACTGATCCGATCATCGGCTGACGTACAATCAGGTACTGTACTCCAAAAAAAGATAAATAGCAGATGGAAGAAGCGATTATGAGAATAAAAAGAATACATATGGCCAAGTATTGCCTACCATATGACTAATATTATCAAAAAGAGACGCAAATTGCTGACTGACAGATATTTCGGTGAGATGATCCATAGTCGAGTAAGCTATTAAAACCTGTAAAAATATAAGCTGACGTTGGAACCTGTTGTATAATGACAAAAAAAACAACAATACCAGAAATAATGTGTTCTGACATTATATTCTGCTATATCTTATCTTCAAAAACTGGAAATATTTCTCAAGATCTATTTTAGAAAATCCAAATAGCTCATAAAATCCACGAATGTGAATATAAACACTACAAAACTAACGTAGGTTATCTATCTTTAAAGCAATACAAATCAAATGAAGAATTTAAGAATTTCAGAACCATACTTTTGTTTTGTTGTTGTTCAGCATGTTAATATAGCTCATTTGACCAATTAGGTCAATATTAGCCATTAATTTAAGACAAGTTACAGCCTCATCACCACTTTTCACTTTCATTCTCAGCACTTGCAATACTGTAAATAAATATCGAATAAAAAATATGTCAAATGTGTGATTTGGTAATTTTGGAGAATAAAAAAATTTTGGAAATAATGAAAAGAGTGGATGCTTAAGATAGCAATAAATAATGCTAATTGCCATGCTAATAAATCTAATGTAACAACCAATTATTATTCATGTGGTCGAATAGCTTAAAAACAGCAAACATTTAAAGTATCACTAATTGAAAACTTAAATTTTTAGAAATGCTTATGGTATAGATGCAAACATCCGAAACACATACTTGTATAAAATAAACACCGTAAAATGAAACGAAATATCCTGAACGTTTCCCAAAGCCACAATCCAAAAGCGATCATCCATGTAGTCTTAATGCTGTGATGAAGCTTAACACCTACCGGATTTATCAATGCGACACCTTTACACCGATCCTGAAGGCATGTTTTAAAGCAAATGGCACTATTTTGGCACGACTGTTAGTTTTTGAAAGTAATAAAAATAAATATAGTGATGGTTTCACCTACTGTTCGAGAAAAAGGATTAAACGACTGGGATATTTATCCTTTGCTTTACTTATTCACTTTACAACCATGATCTAACCGGATTTCTTGCGGCCAACCGAAGAGCATTTTCTGATCCTCTGCTATGACCTAAGAACACAATGTTATCGCCAATATTCATTGAATTAATGATTTTTTGAACGAACTGCATACGCTCCTCACTGGTATAACTTAATTCTTCGTGATCTGCAAAGCAATTTTTATCAGGTAAAAAAATAAGTGAGCGAATTCATATATTTTATTTTAATATTTTATTTTATCCTTTTTTGGTATTATAAATTCTATTTTAGATTTAGGCGTCTAATTAATTATTTATACCGCTGCTGAAATGTGAAGCAAACAGAAGATTACATTTTTTCCGTAATTGATGAATAAAGAAATTTGTGAATTCAAACTAATTGGCACTGTCAAATCGACCACAAATTTGATGGAAAGGCTACATTCAGCAACAATTTTGGAAAAAAGGAAGAAAAACATACGTAGGGTGTAGCCTTGACCAGGAAAATTAATGCCTATAAAACGAATTCCGTATCTGTGCAAATATGGCAAGATATATTTAAAATCATTATGTGAGCCCGGTGTGCCGTGACAGCCCACAACAGTTCCAATGCAGGATCCACCTGGAAGACTGTCCTGTAAATCTTTAATACTTGATCAATCACAATGTTACATGGAAATACTTTCAGTAAAAGTCGTTTCATAGAAGCTTCAAATTACATTTATGCAAAATCGGATGGTGGTCGCATGCAAAAGCTTTTGCATGCGTATTAAATGAGTAAACACAATTAAATAATAGCCATTTCAAAGGAAATAAAAAAATTGTTGAGAAAAGAAGAATGTTAAAAATAACCTGCACAACAGCGTCTACATCAACTGATTGTCGATCGGAGAAATCAATTCGAACACGTAACTTTCGTAACACTGACGGTACTTCCCCCAATTTTATGAGCGACTTCTGATTGCCCAATGTCTTTATATTATTCATTGAAGAATGGGTGGTAGTTTGAGTTGTGCTTGATAGAAAGAATTTGATCAAAAGATTGACAAACTAAAAAATAATCACTTTGGAATGACAGAGGAATTTATTCGCAGCAAACAGCGACCACTTATTTAGCAGGCACAGAAATTTGAACGTAATCAGCGATCGTAACATGAACATTCCTTCACTACTTTTTATAACATTATCACAATGACAAGCAACTTTTGATCAACTTTATAACTCTCAGAATGGGATCACAGAGGATAGGAAAGGACATTATAAAATAATTCTTCACGGAATACACACGTAATGGTAATTTTAAATCAGAGAATAAATAGGGAAGTAAAAAGCAATGAATTTAAATGATACCAAAATGCAAATCGCAAAAAAAGAAAAAATAAAACGGTGTGAATAAGTAAGATAGTTGAAATGATAAAACAAAAAAAAGATTTCTAAGTATTTGAGATACGGATGAATGAACATAAATAAATCTACGAGAGAGAAAATGAAATTTCATTCAATCCAAGCACCATTCACTATTTATTTTTTTAAGGAGCCATGAACTTCTTACCAAGCTTAAAATTGCTTTTTATTTATCATCCTACTTTTTTTCGGTTTCACATTCGGCATTTTTTTGCCATGAATAATAAATGTGATACTATTGGACCTTTTTAATGAATCAAATATTTTCTATTTTCAATTGCTATTTTGTTTAACTCGCCTCAGCAAGCATGCAATTAGCATTATTTTCATTCTAATGTAATTATCATTTCCTTCGACTACTCTTCTTTATTAATCATTACTAGTATTTTAATTTATACTATGAAAATTACGAATGTTTTAGCTTTCATTAAATTTATATGATCTAATGGGAAGTGTGTATTCCTGGAATTCATTTTTTTTAAGCAAAAAAGAATTGGAATGACTAAAGGTGCATTGCTGACATACCATTATGAAAATAACAATGAATTAAATGATGAAATTTAATAAATATTAAATAATTTTATAATTGTAGCAAAGTGGGAGCCTTATAAAAATAATGTAGAAAATGAAAAAGGATAGCAATCACAATAGAAATATGGGATACCAAACTGTTAAAGGGTAGCGATATAGATAAATAATAGTGACAAATGAAGTGTAAAAGAGAAACAATTTACCAGATTGAAGTTTTTGTTAAAGAATCAGAATTACCAAAAAAATTGATCATCATCAGAAGTAATGCATTGTTGGTTAGTAATCAATGATCAGGTTTGGAAGGATCAATGGTTTACAACCTTTGGAGAAAGAAGACCGGGCACGGAATTATTTGAACAAGGCATCTTTTTCTGCCTCACTCTTTTAAATTGGAACCTATTCCAGTTGTAATCATCAAACAATGATGCTTCTCTACAAGTTTCAACGATCACACAGCAAAACAATGTGATCGTTGAAACTTGTAGAAAAGCATCATTTAACATCTCGAAATTGTCAAGAGAGATGTTTACTAGCGAAATGTCAAAAACTGATTAGCACGAATGTTGTTTGAATAAAGCTAAATAAATGCTAACTGCAAACATAAAATGAAACGGTTTGAGGTTAGGCCTAAATTTGATTTAATTAGCCAAACTTTTGCTTATTATAAATTAAATAATTGCATTTAATCTGCAACGACATGTGTATAAAATTCCAATAATTCTGTCACAGTTAAATAAAGCTTATTTTGCTGATAACTTGTCAATTTCGGAAAGTTAAACAAATTAGGATGAATTCCCTTGATAAATAATTTAAGAGATGATTTACTCCTGACGAAATTTCAATTTATATTCCTACAAAATCAACAATGCTTATAAAAGCAAAAGAAAATATTTTTCCATTTTGCTTAATTTCTGAAAGATAAATTTTATTAATATTAGCAATCAACTGCTGTTGGAATTCTTGAAACGATGCGAATAATACTGTCAATTTCAGTATGCATTTTTATAAATATTGCACCTCTATTTTCCTTTAAAGGAAAATAAAATACGCTCCCATTTTATTTGTTTTTATTTTTTTGGATAGAAAGAATCGGAAAATGAGAGAGGGAATGCGAGAAGTGGAATATTTGAAGTACACTGAGAACAACACATCACTTCTGTTGCAGGCACGGTATTCGATCGCCTATCATTCATTCATTCTCATTAATTGATACAGTGAAATTGCTGTTGATCTTACAATGAAGAAGAAAATGAAGGGAATGCATCGATGAAATGGTTCAAAGCTGTTGGTTAACAAAGAAAAAAGAAAAAAAAGAATTTGATTTTAATATTATCTTATTTGAAAAAGAAAAAAGGAGGTGTTTTTTCCATAAAATGTCATTATTTCACGTAAGTAATAAAAAATGGCTTCTTTTAATGAATTAAAAAAAACTTCCATAAAACTTGTTTCTTCTTATTCAACTTTAAAATATATGGATTCTTTCTCTTTTCAAATTTTACTATTGAACCATTAATCTAACTGAACCATTAATCAATTAACCATCAAATTCTTATCAATTATTAATTTCACAGCGAAACAATGTCTAATATTTAAATGGTTAAATGCTCGCTTTATGCAGTGCACTTTCTATTTTATTTCAGAAATTGTTTCTTTTTCTTTTTTTGTGATTGATTATTCAGGTTTTAAGTTTCAGTAGTATTGAATAATAAAAC